TGATGTCTCAGAAGTTGGTGGCCTGATAGTAGCCTGATATGCATTAGCTTGACGATTTTGAGGTCGAGTAGGACAGTCTTTGATAATGTGTCCCGACTTCTTGCAATAATTGCAGTACTTTTTGGTACAATGAGTAGCAATATGCCCATAGTCCTTGCAACTGAAGCATTGAATCTTTCTCATGTCTCTCCATTTGTTTTTGCCATGAGCTACATAAGCGACAGCATCTGAGGTCATATGTTGATGTTGAATAGTGGCCTGTGTTGTAAGACGCTGCTCTTCACGAAGTAACTCCCCAAAACAAACATCCAAAGAAGGGGACGGATCACGATTCATTAGATTTGAGCGAATTGCCTCATATTCTGGACGTAACTTCATTAGAAACTGGTCTCGCTTGCTTTGCTCGTGTACAGTTTGAACGGCAGCAAGAGATTCAACTGGTACTTTAGCATAGATAATATCAGCAAATTCACCCCATAAGCTTTGAAACCCAGAGAAGTAATCCTGGATGTTGAGATTGGCCTGAGTGTAATTTGCAATTTCATACTCCAATTGAAATCGTCTAGCTGTATTGTCTTGATTGTAGACCTTTTTTAAGTACTCCCACATCTCTTTAGCAGTCTTATAAGGTCTTAGATTTAGTACAATCATAGGATCAACAGATCCTAAAATCCATGTCATAACCTTAGCATCTTTCACTTTCCATTTGCCCAATTGAATATTCTCAGTAGGAGCTGGGTCACTTCCATCAATGTGACCCCATAAATCTTTTCCCATAACAAATAATCGAAATTGAAATTCCCATGTAGAATAATTTTTACCCGTGAATCGCACACCGAAAGTTTCAGACATGTTGGTTGACATGATGTACGTAGTTAAAAACAAAAGAACCCAATATAAATTCAGCAAAACCAAAGTCCAGTAGAAAGCCCAATATAAACCGAGCCCAAGTAAACTTTAAGACCCAAATTAAACAATGGATTACTTAGCCCAATAAACAGAGGTTAATATCAAACCTCTAATTCACGTCGGGTTCACCAGTCTCGGCCTCACGTTCACCGCACCAATACAAGTCTCTGCTTCCACATTCACCGCACCAATCTCGGCCTCCACGTTCACCGCACGGTCTCGGCCACCACGGGAGCCACCACAGGAGACGTCGGCAGCACCAAAGAAGTCCAAAAAATCGGACACCACGTAGGACCCAAATGAAGAGTCTTGACAGAACTCAAAGAAGACGTCGCCAGTCACCACCGAAGACGCCGACAGCACTCAAGAGGTCGGAAAATTCCGACACCACCGAAGACCGACTCTATCGCAGTAGGAAAATTCCGACACCACTGAAGACCTACTCTATCGCACGAGAAACCACGAAGAAATTCAGAATTATCGCTCTGATACCATGTCAAGGTATTCAATTTATCCTTTGACTCGATAATCCTCATTGTGAGGGTTCCTTTGTATATATAGGAATAATAAGGCAAA